GAAAAAAAAGAAAAAAAGAAGAAAGAGAGGAAAGTGTGAAGAGAGAGAGACGCGACAGTGAGAGGAGAGAAAGGGTTGAGCAGCTTTGACGGTTGAGAGAGAAGGGTAACGCGGTGTTGCGCAACACCACAACCAAAAGAAAAAGAAAAACGAGAGAAATCACTATTGGTTAGAGAGAGAAAAGAAGAGAAAGAGAGAGAGAGAAGAAAAAGAAAAAAGAAGAAGAATAATAAAGGAAAAAGGAAGAAGAAAGAAAAAAAAAGAAGAAGAAGAAGAAGGAAGAACAAAGGAATAAGAAAAGAAAAAAAAGAAAAAAAAAGAAAAAAAGAAAAGAGAAAGAAAAAAAAGGACAAAAAAAGCGAAAAAGAGAAAAAAAGGAATAAAAGAAAAAAAATGAAATGAAAGAAAAAAAATTAAATTAAATTAAGAAAAAAAATGAAATGGTGGCGACCAAATATGATGTTGGTGCGCCGCATGCGACAATGTGCGCTGATTCGATCATCAACACCTGGCATTTTCGGTGACACATGTGTGATGGCACCTGGTGGCGCTAGCGACCGGGACCGCATGTCTAAAAGTAAAATTCATTCCTAATTTCGCGTAATATAGTTTACAAAATTATCCATAATTAATATATGTGTTTTCTATTATAAACGAAAAAATTATCCAAATGGTATTTGAATTTTCGAGAAGACCGTAGATCGAGATAGAAAGGATCCCCAAAGCTTTTCTGATCACACTATAGGTAAGAATTATGTGTATTCTGTACGGAGATATAAATTATATATTTATATAAACGTGTATATGTATAGTGCATTATGTGTGAATGTTTAAATAGATGTGTGATATAATATGAATATAATTAGTATATCTAATTTGTATTTGTGTGTATTTATATAGTGTATATATATCAACGTTGTTACGCATGTGTGTGTGTATATATAAAAATATATAATGAATGAGATATGAATTGATAAAAATATAACTAACAAGAACAGAACTGATAAGAGCAAATGCGTGAATAAATATATATATGGTATGTTGTGTGAAATTATGTGTACGTGTTTAAGTATAAATGTGCATATATATCGATACAAATTGTGTGCGTGTGAATATAAATATATATTCTATGTGAGACATGTAGTGATGGTACATGTCTGTATTATAATATATGTGTGTGTATTAAAATATGTGTACATATGTATGTATGTAAAATATATAACTAGTGTGTGTACGTGTGAAATTGGGTACACTACACTGGTTATGTGATCTGGTATAGATATACGACGCATTATATTTGTTATGTGATCTAATACAGTTGCGCAAGAAATCTGAGTATCCTGTGCTTGCTGTGTGATCTGGTACATGATAACTTAGAACGTGGTTTGAAAAATATATGGTTCTAATGTGGGTGATGATATCGTGTATTATCTATATGTTTGTATTTAATTATGTATAGAAATTAAGATCTTAAGTAGGAAATAAGTGAATTAAAAATAAGAGAGATTTGGAAAGAGTGTAAAGTATAAGGACCTTGGATACCTACTCGTTTAGTCTGAATCGAGGAGGAGAGGGTGTCTGTGTGGCTGAAGTTCAGCGGGCTTTGTGAACTTGCACATGGATAGAGTTTGAAGCCTAATCCAGACGTGGATAGGTATTTGTGAGTGTGGGTCACCTAGTAAACATACATGTTGTGGCCATTGTGAAATTTATGTGTGTGTGCTATCCATGCGATGGAGGATCCATTTTGCCTCTCCTCGACGATGATATAAACAGCATCGTGCGATGGTAACCTAATTAAGCTTTAAAAAAATAAATAATATGAAATTATAAATTCGAGTTAAGTGATATGTGTGTGTGAGTAAATCCGTTTTGATTTAAGAAATCTGTGAATCCATGAGTGTGATTTGAAAGGAGAACAAGAATTAGGTTATAAGAGTGAGAATTAAAATATATTTTGTGTGATGATTTGTTTTATTATGTATTTTGATTGTGATGCTTGTTTGATATTGTTTGATGATAAAAATTATTATATATTATATATTGCGTTAATGTATGTACGTAAGTCTCCGTTATATAATCTTTTTTCTTACGAGCTCGTGAAGCTCACCCCAATTCACCTCCATCCAAGTCAGAAGAGAAGAGAAACAAGTTCAATATTAATAGAAAATGGTGAAGAAAACCTTATTAGTTTCTATTTTAAGTTTATAAATTAATTTAGATGCCTCAATTATTTGTAAATAAATAATTATATTGTCACAAGAAATGTATATTAAAGTGTAGTTCCACTGCATATTTAATATTTATATGTTCTGCTAATTGAAAATATTATGCTAACGTTCGTACCTACCAACATAGGAGTTTGGGTTGTTACAACAACAATAGAATATGATTTAAGTAATATCTGAAAAAAGTACTATGAAAAAAAAAATCTTATTGCTTAGAAGCTTTGGATAAGGTGTAATATCCGGGTTCGTAATTTGGCCCGAAATTAATTTCAACATAAAAAAATGTATAAAACCTATTTCTGAAATTATTAATTTTTAATCTAATGTGGAATTACGGAAAAAATAGGTTGAGATTGAAATTAAAAATAATTTTGAGAAAAAAATGTAAAATTTTGGGTTCGGGGGGTGTTTCTGAAAGAAAAATCAGAAACTGGAGGTCAAAATACAATTAAAAAAAATTTTACCACGTTAGACTGTCCAGTCAGCAGCCCCGACGAACCGGAGCGTGCCACGTGGCAAGGTTTATTGACTTGATGCCACGCAGGAGGCCACTCTGGCGATCCGCATGCCCCGCGATCGGACGATCCAAAAGTGTTCCCACACGGGTAGATGGTCCTTGGATCTGTTCCCTCCTCAGGTGCGATCGGACAGTCGAGATCAAACGCGATGAACGATTCAGATTAACGCGATGTGGATAGAAATATCTCGTATCACACTAAACCTAAACCCTAGCTACCAGCCTCTTGTCGAAGAAAAATAACCAGTCGTCGGCCGACGACCACCACGCCGGAGCCAGCTCTGACTGCCAAAAAAAAGTAGAATTTTTTTTATCCGCTCGGAATTTGATTTCGAGCACCCTCATGGTCAAATCGGAGCAAAAAGAATGGTGGGTGAGCCAGAAACCGCAGGTAAAGCCTCGCACCGCCGCCGCGGGTAAAATCGCAACTGCTCTATGAGCCCCTTTCTGTTTTCGTTTCATGCATTTTTT